CGATTTTTAATAAAGATATGAATTTTTATAACTTCTAAAACCTTTATTTTTGTTGAGTTTTAATACTTTCCACTTTGATCATTTAGAACATTTTCATTTTAAATTTCTTAACAATTTCGCTTTATTAACTAAAATCTGCACACTTTTAACTACAATTACTAAAAATTTCGTACTTCCGAACGCATTTTTAAAAAAGTTATGAATTTAAATAAACATTAAAATCTAAAATTTTTTGATACTGTTCATTTTACCAACATAAATCATTTTTATTTCGATTTTTGACGCAACATCACATTTTTTAATTAAATCTCTATACTTTTTAGAGCAACTCTTAAAAATTTCGAAATTCCAGCTCGATTTTTAATAAAGATATGAATTTTTATAACTTCTAAAACCTTTATTTTTGTTGAGTTTTAATACTGCCACTTTGATCATTTAGAACATTTTCATTTTAAATTTCTTAAAAATTTCGCTTTATTAACTAAAATCTGCACACTTTTAACTACAATTACTAAAAATTTCATCATTCCAAACGCATTTTTAAAAAAAGTTATGAATTTAAATAAACATTAAGACCCAAATCATGTTTATAAATCGTTTCTTAACTTCCATAAATAAACCGGAAGCGATTCTTTAAACTTTCCATTTTTTGCTTTTCTACTTAACCTCAAACTGGACTCATTTTCCTTCTTCTCCTCGGTTAATTTAAATAATAAATCATGGAAATGAGATCTCGGGTGAAAATGCAAAGAAATAAAACGATTCTCGTTGTTGAAATTGTTGAAGACGACCTGGAAATCGCAACACACTTTCTAATTGACCCACCTGTATATACACGATATACATATTCTCATTTAAGAATTATGTGCTAAATAGGCTGAGCAAACAATTATTTATTTTTTCAAATTAATTTTGATTTTTTTTACAAAAATTAATAAAACATTAAATCAGTTTTATCATTAATTTCGACCACGTACACCGTAAAACGGGACACTAAACATTCCATTTTCCGTTTTTTTCCCCTCTCTCCATTCATTTTCAATTTTCTACCTCTTCCTTTGCGCTATCTCTCTTTTTACCTCTCCCCACCACCAATATAATTTCTTTTTTTTTAATACCAACTACCTAACACCATCAGAGCAAAAAGTAAAATAACCTTGAAATTGTTGCCTTTTTTCAATTAAAACCGGTTTGATTAGAATTTTATGTAATTTTTAAATTCCTCTATTAATAAAGAATAATAACACATTTTCTTACCTGAATATTTGTTCTCTTCACGTCCACATAAAGCCAATTGTCCGTTGCGAAGGCAATTGTTAGAAGGGAAACGGCAACGATCGAAGTGATCGTGGCCAAACTCAACGTGACAGCTGAACAAGGCATACTTCTCTTCTTTTATTCCTATTTTGTTGAGTATTGAGTTCAAAACTTCTATCTTTGCAATCTTCCTTTTTGTTGATCAAGACCACCCACTTTTAATCGAATTCACTTTGATGTTAAAACGCTTATAGAGTATGAGCTTTTTTAAGTTTTAAGATCATTTTGGTGTTTAATGAAGTATGGATTGTAGGAAAAACGGTAAATATGGGGTTTTCGGGTCACGAAAATTACTGAATGACTGATGGTGACTCAAAAAGTCGTGAAACGGTACTGAGAAATGAAGAAGAAGGAAGAAAACGGGTACTACCTGAGGTGGGGTACCTGAGGTGGGTACCTGAGGAAGGATGGAGGTGGAAAAACTTTCTTAAAGCCGCGCGCATGCGTCAAATTCCGATGTGTTTTGTTTGGGTTTAGGAAAAAGGATTTATTTAAGAACTTAATTTGTTATTATCTGCAAAATTAAACGATATTTTTTCTAAAATTGCTTGTAGTAAAGATATCAAACTTTTTTAGGTTATAAAGAGATGCTTCAGGTTAGGTTATTGCAAATTATAAACTTCCAGGGTTACCAATTTATTTTATAAAAAATTTTGAAAATCACTCTTTAAATTTGACTTTTGTTGCAAATGGGATTAAAGAAGCGGAAAGGCCCAGTACCGGGTCGATAGTTTAAATAAAGATGTATATATTTATAATTATTCCAAAATAAATATTACCAAAGTTATAATTTTGCTCATTTTGTATACTTTTTGACTTTATCATCCATAACATTTTCATATCAATTATAATAACAATTCTACACCTTTTATTGTAATCTACGCACTTTCTAGTATAATTCCTATAAAAATTAGGATTCCAACTTGATAATTACAAAAGTTATGAATCTTTTTAAACTTAAATAGCATATATTTATTAACTTTTCAATTTAACCACCCATAGCTTATTCAGTTCAACTTTAATAACAAATTAGTATTTTTTATCAGAAAGTACGTAGTTTTTTATGTAATTCCTGAAAATATTATGATTCCAAAATAAATATTAACAAAGTTATAAAGCTTTATAACCCGAAATACCGTTAATTTTGCTCATTTTGTATACTTTTTTTGGGATCAAAGATAAAAATGTTTTCTCCGAAACGACTTGAAGTAGAGATACAAAACTTTTTGAGGTTATAAAGGGATGTTTGAGGTTAGGTTATAGCAAATTATAAACTTCCAGGGTGACCAATTTATTTTATAAACAATTTTAAAAATCACTCATTAAACTTNCGTTTATAATTTTTGAGTTATAACCCATTGTGTTGTTAGATGCCTCAAATTCGAAATTTTTGAAATTATAAACCCGCTAGGTTGGTAAATGTCAAATTTGAGTTCTAATAGTTTCCGGAAAACATTTTCTTGTTTCGTTACGAACAATTATTGTCCACAATATTTTCTCTTAGCACTTTTAGTTTTTAAGTTATAATAAAAATTTGGCAAAAACGTCAATTTAGAGAATTTGTCATTTTATGCTTCATAACTCAAAATGATAACTAGTTGGAAAGAAATTGTTCGTGGATTATGTTTTTACGATTAATTATAAACAGTTTTTATTAATATAAGTCTCATCCACCGTCTATAATTTTTGAGTTATAACCCATTGTGTTGTTAGATGCCTCAAATTCGAAATTTTTGAAATTAAAAACCCGCTAGGTTGGTAAATGTCAAATTTGAGTTCTAATAGTTTCCGGAAAACGTTTTCTTGTTTCGTTACGAACAATTATTATCCACAATATTTTCTCCCAGTACTTTTAGTTTTTAAGATATAATAAAAATTTGTCAAAAACGTCAATTTAGAGATTTTGTCATTTTATGCTTCATAACTCAAAATGCTAACTAGTTGGAAAGAAATTGTTCGTGGATTATGTTTTTACGATTAATTATAAACAATTTTTATTCATATCAGTCTCATCCACCGTTTATAATTTTTGAGTTATAACCCATTGTGTTGTTAGATGCCTCAAATTCGAAATTTTTAAAATTATAAACCCGCTAGGTTGGTAAATGTCAAATTTAAGTTCTAATAGTTTCCGGATAACGTTTTCTTGTTTCGTTACGAACAATTATTATCCACAATATTTTCTCCCAGCACTTTTAGTTTTTAAGTTATAATAAAAATTTGTCAAAAACGTCAATTTAGAGATTTTGTCATTTTATGCTTCATAACTCAAAATGCTAACTAGTTGGAAAGAAATTGTTCGTGGATNAGGTTATAGTAAATTATAAACTTCCAGGGTGACCAATTTATTTTATAAACAATTTTAAAAATCACTCATTAAACTTGACTTTTGTTGCAAATGTGATTAAAGATAAAAAATGTTTTCTCCGAAACGGCTTGAAGTAAAGATATAAAACTGTTTGAGGTTATAAAGGGATGTTTGAGGTTAAGTTATAGTAAATTATAAACTTCCAGGGTGACCAATTTATTTTATAAACAATTTTAAAAATCACTCATTAAACTTGACTTTTGTTGCAAATGTGATTAAAGATAAAAAATCTTTTCTCCGAAACGGTTTGAAGTAAAGATATAAAACTGTTTGAGGTTATAAAGGGATGTTTGAGGTTAAGTTATAGCAAATTATAAACTTCCAGGGTGACTAATTTATTTTATAAACAATTTAAAAATCACTCATAAAATTTGACTTTTGTTTAAAATGGGATGAAAGATAAAAAATGTTTTCTCCGAAACGGCTTGATGTAAAGATATAAAACTTTTTGAGGTTATAAAGGAATGTTTGAGGTTAGGTTATAGCAAATTATAAACTTCCAGGGTAACTAATTTATTTTATAAACAACTCCAAAGTCACTCATAAAATTTGACTTTTGTTTAAAATAGGATGAAAGATAAAAAATGCTATCTCCGAAACGGCTTGAACTAAAGATATAAAACTTTTTCAGGTTATAAAAGGATGCTTGAGGTTAGGTTATAGCAAATTATAAACTTCCAGGGTGACTAATTTATTTTATAAACAATTTCAAAATCACTCATAAAATTTGACTTTTGTTTAAAATGGGATGAAAGATAAAAAATGTTATCTCCGAAACGGCTTGAAGTAAAGATATAATACAGTTTGAGGTTATAAAGGGATATTTGAGGTTAGGTTATAGCAAATTATAAACTTCCACGGTGACCAATTTATTTTATAAACAATTTTAAAAATCACTCATTAAACTTGACTTTTGTAGTAAATGGGATTAAAGATAAAAAATGTTTTCTCCGAAACGGCTTGAAGTAAAGATATAAAACTGTTTGAGGTTATAAAGGGATGTTTGAGGTTAGGTTATAGTATATTAAAAAACTTCCAGGGTGACCAATTTATTTTATAAACAATTTTAAAAATCACCCTTTAAATTTGACTTTTGTTGCAATGGGATTAAAGATAAAAAAAGTTTTCTCCGAAACGGCTTGAAATAAAGATATAAAACTTTTTGAGGTTATAAAGGGATGTTTGAGGTTAGGTTATAGCAACTTATAAACTTCCAGGGTGACCAATTTATTTTATAAACAATTTTAAAAATCACTCATTAAATTTGACTTTTATTGCAAATGGAATTAAAGAAGCGGAAAGGCCCAATACCGGGTCGATAGCTTAAATAAAGATACATATACAGGGTGTCACACAAGAAACGCCCCAAGCTGTAACTCTGTCATTTACATTCCGATTTTCATGAGCGGGTTATCAAATGAAATGGTTTCATGAATACTATGATTCATGCTACAAATAAATTTTTTCCAAGGCCGTCTTCAATTTTAAGCGATTATTAACTTTTGCTTTTCAAATTGCTCTATATATTTTTCTTTACGTCATTGGATAGAGATTGTTTTTCTGAATCCACTGATGTACAATACATCCATTTTGAATATAATTTTAGTAGAGAAAAGACACCTGTATATACAGGTTGCCACACAAGAACGCCGCTAGCTGTACCTCTGTCATTTACCTTCCAATTTTCATGACCTAGCTATCAAATGAAATGGTTTGATGAATACTATGATTCATGCTACAAATAAACTTTTTCCAACGCCATCTTCAATTTCTAGCGATTATCAACATTTGATTTTCAAATTGCTCGGTATGTTTTTCTTCACGCTATTGGATAGAGTTTTTTTTTCTGAATCCATTAATGTACAATACATCAACATTAATTGTAATTGTAGCATAGAAAAACATTAAAATAGTTTCTGAACATTCTCTTAAAGTCACTTGTATTATACTGTAGTGTGCCATGGGATAAATGAAAAAACAACTTATAAGTATCATTTACAACTGCTTCGGGCATTGACATAGCATTTAATGACTGTTATCAGTTTTGCGTGTTATTTTTTTCCATGGCACACTGCAGTATTACAGAAGTGACTAAGACAATGTTCGGAAAATGTTTTAATTGTTTTTCTCTGCTAAAATTACAATTAATGTTAATGTATTGTAGATCGATGGGCTCAGAAAAAAATCTCTATCCCATAACGTGAAGAAAAACATACCGAGCAATTTGAAAATCAAAAGTTGATAATCGCTTGAAATCGAAGATGGCGTTGGAAAATGTTTATTTGTAGCATGAATCATAGCATTCATCAAACCATTTCATTTGATACCTCGTTCATAAAAATCTGAAGTTAAATGACAGAGTTACAGCTTACGGCGTTCTTGTGTGAAAACTGTATATACAGGTGTCTTTTTTCTGCTAAAATTACATTCAAAGTGGATGTATGGAGCAATTTGAAAAACAAAAGTTAATAATCGCTTAAAATTGAAGATGGCCTTGAAAAAAATTTATTTGTAGCATGAACCATAGTATTCATCAAACCATTTCATTTGATGCCTCGGTCATGAAAATCGGAATATAAATGACAGAGTTACAGCTTGGGGCGTTTTTTGTGTGACACCCTGTATATATATATATATATATATATATATATTATTCCAAAATAAATATTACCGAAGTTATAAAGCTTTATAACCCGAAATACCGTTAATTTTGCTCATTTTATATACTTTTTGACTTTATCATCCATAACATAGCTTATTCAGTTCAACTTTAATAACAAATTAGTGTTTTTTATCAGAAAGTACATAGCTTTTTATGTAATTCCTGAAAATATTATGATTTCAAAATAAATATTAACAAAGTTATAAAGCTTTATAACCCGAAATACCGTTAATTTTGCATATTTTGTATATTTTTTGACTTTATCATCCATAACATTTTCATATCAATTATAAAAATAATTTTACACCTTTTATTGTAATCTACG